GATGATGCTACCAATTTCCACAGCAGCGTACATTCTTTCCACAGCGCTACCATTTTGCTCTATCTCTATGCATCCTTACGGGGGACTTTATGAACTCTCTGACTTTTTTTGGGCTTCTGCCTCCCACAGTAGATAATGTGTACCCTGAAGGTTCAGATCCCACCCATGTTCCATCAGTGCTCTTGCAGCACTGGGCAGAGCCACCACACCCCGACTTAAAGAGCAGGTTCCAGGAGGCAGACACTACCTCACTTGGCATCAATATGTAAAGATTAGGGACACCTCCAAAATCTCTGAGACCTCTGGCACTCCCTTACGGCTTGTCAAGGGACTTTGGATGGTGTGTCCAAAGATGACTGGCCTGTGCTAAGGACACAGGCTGAAGGACTGCTCCTTTCCCCTCTAGGAAGCCTTCCTGGGGAGCTGGAGGAAACTGGGGGTGGCTCCTCTTTGGATGTTCCAAGCCCACCTCCTTTCCTGTCCCCATGAAACTGAGCCAGTCACCTCCCTACTAAGAATGTCACCATTCTCACCCTACTTAACCTTCACCAACCCTAAGAATAAACGGCAATGACTCACTAGCACTAAGTGCATTCCCTGTCTGCAGACCAAGGATCTCCAGATCTCAATCCCTTCCTCACCATGCCTCATGTCCTCTCTACCCCAAGGAGTAATCCATATGGACAGGACTGCCACCTCGACCTGTATCCCTGAAGAGCTGGCTGTGACCTGCCAAAGGACTCAAGGAGCAGAGGGCTCAGAGGAGTCGTGCTGGTAGGCCTTAAGAAACAAGACAAGATCTGCTCCGCTCAAGAAAAGTATGAGAAAGACAAGAACAAGGAAGACCTTTCAGAGTCCTTCCAATCCTGGTTCCATTTTTGCACCACAACTGGATGGCATCAACAGACATCTCAGTGGGGAAGGCTAGAGCTGAGGGTGGTGACCCAGTTCCGGACTTGGGGAGTGGGGAGTGTGAGGGGAGGTGGTGGTGGCTGATGGTGAACACATGGATCCAAGCCCCTTGGAAACATTGAAAATATGGAACCCCTTCTCTTCCTGGTCCCCGCACTATCCTTCAGACGGCCGTGCTGTGCTGAGCCGTCAAAGACCCTGTAATATCAACTCAACAATGCATGTACTACAGCTACAGCTACGGCTACCAGAACATCTACTACAGTGCATGCATTTAGTTCAGTCCCACAGATACATACAATCTAAGAACAGGCAGGAGAGGTGTGAAATGTTTTACTGGACAACAGGTGTTTTGGAGTTGTAACTAATAAAAAAAATCAAAACGAAAGTGTACAAAAAAAGACATTTCTGGAGAGTTGGATATGAGTTTGTTTCTTGAACTGTTTCATCTGAACAAGCAAAAACATGCAAACCAGCTGGTACTAACAGGAAGCTGGACACTGAGAGAGGATTAATAGGTGTGGACAAACCTTCCGGCTGAGCGTGCTCAGAAGAGTGTTTGAGAGGAGGTGTGCAGATCCTAGCGTAAGAGAGGCGGGAAAGTATGCCTCAGAGACACTCTCACCGCAGCCCCAACCAAGCAAGAGAAAAGACAACAGAAACATGACTGCTCACACTCACCACCACCATCAGGAGCTCATGTTACTAGACTGGAATAAAGCTGGCAAGTATAAAGTACAGTAAGGGGTCCTGGCTGGGGCCGGTGGGTGGGGAGAGGTGGGATGGGGTGGTACCAGGGGCTCAGAAGCTCTAAGATTGATACGCAGACCCACCCATAATAACATCCCAAACTAAAATGCCCTGAATATCCGAACCACTCCCTCACCTGTTGGGGGAGGCTTTTGCCAAACTGAATTTAGGTTTGGGTGGGACATGATGGGGCCATTGGAACTGAATGAATACGATCAAAATAAACAAACAAACTCTCGACTGAGCACAAGAAAAGATGACATTTCAAACTACCAGGTGAACGTAAAAGAAAAGTGACCACTGATAGTGAAGTTATCTAGGAGTCGGCAGGGACCTCACCTGGTGGGGTCCCCTGAGCCCTGCTCACCTCAGGTCCTGGGGGAATTAGGAACCGGTGGGCAGGCTGGCCCAGAGGGTCGGCTGAGGTGGGCACAGAGCTCAAGGCCCCCCCGCCCCGGACCTCCTACCCTGACACCACAGCCCTGACGGATCCAAGTTGCCACCCTGAGCAAAAACAAAGCTGCCTCCCACCCCACGGCCCTCAGCAAGTGCTTCTCGAACTCAGGAAGCTCCCCGCATAAGTCATAATGGAAGGAAAAAAAAATACCCCAAATGGTGGAGCTAGACAAAAATCAAAGACAAAAACAGGGCCCTCCGTAGGATGATGCCTGATCCCTAAACAAAGCCTGAGAGCCCCTGGGGAGCAGAGGCCACGTTTCCCACTGTTTGAAGTCACCTGCCAGGTTTAGCATGGTACCAAGTTCAAGGTAGGTACTCAACAGACTCTCCCTGAATGTCTCCCTGCATCTCGCTATAAGGGAAAGCAGTTGAGTTCGTGCTGACCTCCAGTAGTCCTTATCCCCTGGGGAGGAGCTGGGGTAGGTCAGGCAGGGCTTCAGGAGCTAGAGAAGGTGAAACTAGGCTATTGGCCCTCAGCAAGCCCTTCGTTGCCTACACGAATACACACACACAAGTGAGTCTGGGTGGTCCCTCGAAATTCAGAGCAAAGAGCTTTTGCCACTGAGAGGCCACCGGCAGGTAAATAATTGGCCATGCCACCAGGCTTGCCTTCTCCATCATTTTCTAGAGGGAGTGAGGTGACAGTCCCCTTATTGGCAAAACGTGGTCAAAGAAAGAATGGCAGAGCGCTTCCTTTCCCAAACTTGTAACCCTGTTCCAGGTCCAAAGAAGGGCTGAGGAACTACGGTCGCCTGGTTACACACAGGCGGGTGTCTTCCTGCCCAGGCAGTGCCCTCACTATGGTGGATACGGTCTAGCCATTGCCCTGGGGCACATCCCAAGCCCTTGACACCTCCCGCCCAGCAGCACTGCAGGGTTGCCCTGTAGTTTCTAGGTTGTCCCTGCACCTTGTGGGGGGCGGGGTGGCGGGCACCTCGGAGTTGAGGATTTACTCCTGCGCTAACCCAGGCTGGTGTGGGCAGGTGGTCTGGGAGCCCGCTCCTGAATACAGTTCACTAACAGTGCAGCGATGAGCATGGCTGACCTAGAATGGGCTGGGAGAGACTTTGCTCCCAATGGAAATGGCTACAAATCAAACACCATTGATCCTGAAAAAAAAAAAAAGAAGTGTGGCTGGAAATGACCCTGGGGGTTAGGAGTTAGAGGGTGGGTGGGACTCCACCTGGCTCTGGGGGTCCATGAGAGGGTGGGGTGGCAGAAGGGGGCACAGACCATGTGAGACGGTTCTCAGATTCACAAAGAACCCCATGCTGCCCTTTAAACTTGCCATGAAGTCAAGGAGAACAGGGTGGGGTGGGGAGAGAGGCAGGGTTAATTTCGGGTTAAAGTTTAGTTTCATAATCCAAGTTATAAAAAGAAAGAAACTGAATGGAGAAAACAACCAACAACACTCAAAAATCTCAAGAGTTTTCTTTTTATCTTTCCCCCAACCCCAGGCACAGGTAGGACCGAGGCTTGTTTATAATGATACCAAAAAGTGCTCAAGGTAAAACACCAAATGGCACAGGGAGACAGAAGGCAGCTGCACACCCTGCCCCCAGGGACCGGGGCTGGGGGACCAAGGGACACTTGCCAGAGGGCAGGTGGGGCCTGTGGACACTGGCTGTGTGAGCAGAAGCTCAGGAAGGGGGCCCAGCTCTCTGGACCTGCCTGCCAGTCTGCCCACTTGCCAGCTCTCTGGCAAACTGCCCCTCAGCAGCCCCTGAGAACTCCCTAGTTCCCTCCAAACAAAACCCCAGTGGATGATTCGGGGGAGTGGATCCTTTGTAGCTTGAGGCAGTGCCAGTTTGCATGGAACGGATTTTTACTGACGTTTTCTAATGGGCCTCACTGTGCCAGCCTCTCATCACCCAGGGTGTGGGTTTTTGGCATTTGCCCTCTGGGCTTTTAATGCTCTATATCCTGGTACCCTCACCAGCTCCCCACCCTGCCTGGCCCCACCCTCCTCAGAGCCCTGTTACATCAAACTAGACGCTTCTCTGGGTGCTCCAGAGCCCTGTCCATGGGGTGTGGGGGGAAGAGAGCTGCAAACCGTGAGCACTCCATTCAGGGAGGAGCAGGGGTGGGGAGGGAGTCCAGGGCACAGCAGAAGCCCTGCTCACCTAGGAAGGCAGAGAGCGCTTTGGGGAGAGGGACAAAAGGGATCCTGGGCATCCCTGACATGTCTCAGCTCTGGCCTGACCCCATGATAATGCTGGAAAAGTGTTCCCATGTCAACTTGAGGAGTTCCAGACCTCTGAAAGGTTGGCTTTGGAGACTGAATGGCTGGGGCAACCTCGTGGGACAGAAAGCCCAATTCCCTTGGCTGCGGGAGCTGAGACGTCTGGCGAAGAAGAGTCTGGGAGGCACAGGGGCTCCAGAAACAGCAGCTTCATTCACGGAGGCCCAGGGCTGGCCCCATGGCTGCTTTCAGGGGCTCTGGGGGTTTAGTCAGAACAGCAGGCCCACCTGCCAGCGCGGAAGGGGCCCAGGGGACAGCCTAGCACTTCTCTAGCTGGCTCAGGGACCCAAGGGAAGGAGGCTGCTGAATTAGCAAAAGCCAAGGAGGGAAATGACCCCAGGTACCCAAAGCCAGTTGTCAGGTGATGGGACAGTCAAAGTCAAAAAGAAACCCAGCTTTTTTTTTTCAAGGAGAAAATAATAATCCGCCTTTGGTTTGCAGTCCCATGACTGTGACTGATCCCACTACAAGTGCCCTGGGTGGCCAGGCTTTGCCCGTGCCTCCGTCCACCCCCTCCCCCGGGCTGTGGTGAGAGTGGTGTTGGACAGATGCAGCCACACAGATCCGACAGGGCCTTGACCTCCCCCTGCACACTGGGGGCATGCCTGGGAGTCGCCTGTCCCATACACCTTCCTACCTGATCCTCTGGCCGCCGCCACTGCCGCTGCTGCCACTGGTCCATAAGCCGCTGCCGGGAAGCCTGGCCAGGAGAGAGAGGAGCCTGCGTCAAGTAGGAATCCTTGGAAGGGCCAGGCACAGACCTAGGTCCCGGGCCACACAACCCCCGCCCTCCACACAAAGACACGCGTGGGAAGGGATTTTCACGGGGCAGCTTTTGAGAGGGACACAGAATAGTGGCTGTCAGGCTTCCGGAAGGCACAGCATCTTTAGGTGTGTTTGATTCTCACCCATTTGTCATCCCAGAAGCTGGGTCTAGAAGGCCCACAACAATAATTCAAGAATTGTAGGAGGATTTTTTTCTTGAGAAGCGGGCTTGAGCTCCCTGTTGACCCTGCAGTGACACACGGTGGCTCCCTGGGGTTGTCCTGAGCAGAACCGAGCGTGGCCGCACTGGCCCGCTGCTCCTCACAGAGATCCTGGCAGAGTGGTCAGCCCTGCGCCACAGGCAGGGGCCACTTGGGACGGCCTCTTGACAGGGCAGGCACCTTGGCTGGGAGCTGGCTTAATTGCAGCTGTCCTCTGAAGGCTCCGAAGGTCAGCGTGGCCTTTTAAACTCCGGCCTTTTATCAAAACATCACGTCAGCGGCATCACAGCCCCAGACCCGAGAGTGAAGCATTTGGGGGTCCCAGTCACATATACGCATATACATGGAGCCAGATGGGGGAGAGAGTGTGGGGCTGCAGGGGTCTATGTGGGGTGAGCCCTATGGCTTTATTTGATCTCTGTGTTCCAACCTCCTGAAGCTGTTGTGTGAATTTAGATGTGGCTCTTTGGTCTGAACCCCCACGGCCCAGATGAAGCTGGCACGGGAGGATCTCCTGGGGGTCCCTGGAGTCCTTCTTGATCAAGGCTTACGCTATCCAAAAACGCACTGCATAGCAAGGCTGTCCCAGCAACGGGAATAACAGCCAGGAGGCCAGGGTAGCCTCGTGTAGCTGCAGAATCCAGATGAAGTCTGCCAAGTCCCCTCCCCTGGGCTTCTCTCAGCCACCAGCATGTGCACACACAGCCTAGTGCTGGGACACACACAGATAGACGCCCCTACATATAAAGACAAACACCCTCTGCCATCCAGGCAGATGCTTGGAGGCCTGACCCCAAGACCCATTTCCAATGACTGTGGTTTTAAATGATGTGCCAGAAGCCAGCCGCAAACTCAATCAACAGCCCTGAACAAGGCTGCTCAACTTGAGCCACTGAGCCTTTTAAACAAGGAACTTCTACAGGACAAGAGGAAGGCATGCACCATCAAGGGCAGGGAGCAGAGGAGGGAGGAAAGCGGAGACAGCTCCCAACACAGCAAACTAGAAGCCCACTAAACTCTAAGACTATTGTCCTAGCTACACGGTACTACTGAAGGGAAAGAAGTTCAAAGGGGAACAAGCTATTCTAAAAAGGTCAGGCTAAGCTACTTAAAATGTCAATGAAAAGAGACATACTTGCATTTAAATATGGTAATAGGGCTGTTGAAGGGGGAAAAAGAAAGATCCAGGTGAAATGAATGTACGGTTGTCCCTGGCTGCAGGTCTCCCAGCTCCCATGAAGACCACGCATGGTGACTGGAGGCCCTCCCTTCCCCAGAAGGCAGCAAGGAACCCAGAGGCAGACCAAGGAAGGGACCCCCAACCAAGTCCTCTCCCCGGGTCTTCCAGGCAGGGTCTAGATTTCTGAAGATGAGAGTCCTGGCAGACATTGCTGAAGAAAAATAAGAAGTCAAGTTATTTCTCTCTGTCCCAACCCCCAGGACACCCAGGCTTCTGCTGCTGTTAGAGCAAGGCCCAGGGGGCACTGGAGGGAGAGGACACAGGCGAGTCATTCCTTGGCACTCCTTACCACGCACTTACAATGGAAGGTGTCCTGGGAAGCATGGAGGAAAGGCTGCGGGGAGGGGGAGGAGGAACAGAGCTGGGGAGGGGAGTGTAGTCAATAAAAAGACTTGTTAACAAAAGGTCTATTTTGAATGAAAAGTCTGAAAGAGGAAGAAAAAAAACTTATCCAAGAAAGGAAATGCATTATCCTTAATCTCAGATAAAGGCTCTTGCTGGAGGTGGAGCATCAGATGCTGCTGAGGGCTGGATGTGGCTTTTTGGTCTGAGCCCCATGGCCCAGATGAAGCTGGGGCCTCATCTCCACCCTGGAGAGGGAGGGTAAGCCGAGTGACAGGTGAGAAGAGAGGCTGAAGGAGCAGGGCTACCTGGGCTGCCCCTCACACGGCACGGGCAGCAGCTCTGTAGCCGCCACCCCCACTGCCTCTCTGCCCTCCTAATGAAACGCCAGGGCCATGCCAACACCTGGCCTAGCCCCTTAGGAGCCACCTGGTGGGGAGGGGACGGAGCTTGCACCAGCATCCTGCACAGCAGGCCTCCTGGCCCCCTTCCCCTGCTCATCCCCATCCCCCTCCATTCTATTAGGCCATCCGGCCTCAACAGTCACTCCTCACCCCCAAAATACATTCTCCATAGGACCTGGCAGACAGGCTCCTGATACTGAGTCCCAGGGCCAGGTCTCTTCTTGGTGGAAGCACAGATACAAGGCGTGTGTGCGCGTGTGTGTTATGTCTATGCGTGTTGGGTATGCGTGTTAAGTGTGGGGGGGTGTTTATGTGTGTAATGTGTGTTTGTTGGGTATATATGTGTTGGATGTGGATATGGATGTGTGTGTTGAGTGTATGTATGTACTGGATATGTGTGTTGAGTGCATGTATTGGGTACATGTGTTGGGTGTATATGGATGTGTGTGTTGAGTGTATGTATGTGCTGGGTGTATGTGCTGGCTGTGTGTGTTGTATGTGTGTTGAGTGTGTGTACTGTGTACATGTTGGGTATATGTGGATATGTGTGTTGAATGTATGTATTGGATGTGTGTGTTTAGTGTGTTGAGTACATGTGTTAGGTGTATGGATGTGTGTTGAGTACATGTGTGTTATGTGTTGTGTATATGTGTCAGGTGTAGTGGATATGTGTTGGGTGTGTTGTGTGAGTGTGTGGACTGTGTACATGTGTTGGGGGTATGTGGATGTGTGTTGATTGTATATATGTATGGGGTGTTTGTGTGTTGAGTGTATGTACTGTGTACATGTGTTGGGTGTGTGAATTCATGTGTATGTGTTGTGTATATGTGATGGGTGTGTGTGGATGTGTGTATTGAGTGTATATATGTATTGGGTGTCTGTGCGAGTGTATGTATTGTATACATGTGTGTGGGATATGTGGATGTGTGTGTTGAGTGTATGTATGTATGGGGGGTGTTGTGCGTTGAGTGTATGTACTGTGTACGTGTGATGGGTTTATGTGGATGTGTGTGTTGAGTATATGTATGTATGTATAGGGGTGTTGTGCGTTGAGTGTATGTACTGTATATGTGTGATGGGTGTATGTGGATGTGTGTGTTGAGTATATGTATGTATGGGGGTGTTGTGTTGGGTGTATGTACTGTGTACGTGTGATGGGTGTATGTGGATGTGTGTTGAGTATATGTATGTATGGGGGTGTTGTGTGTTGAGTATATGTATGTATGGGGGTGTTGTGTTGGGTGTATGTACTGTGTACGTGTGATGGGTGTATGTGGATGTGTGTTGAGTATATGTATGTATGGGGGTGTTGTGTGTTGAGTGTATGTACTGTGTACGTGTGATGGGTGTACGTGGATGTGTGTGTTGAGTATATGTATGTATGGGGGTGTTGTGTGTTGAGTATATGTATGTATGGGGGTGTTGTGTGTTGAGTGTATGTACTGTGTACGTGTGATGGGTGTATGTGGATGTGTGTGTTGAGTGCATGTGTGTTGTGCATGTGTTGGGTGGAATGGTGCCACCACAGCTGGGGCTGCCAGAGGCCAAAGAAGCATCCTGGTGGCCTGAGCCAAATGCTGTGGTGACGGAGGGCACATGCTGTCTCCAAGACAAGCCCTTCACAGGACACAGGAGGGGCCTGAGGACCAGGAGGCCCCAGGTGGAAAGGACCCTCCAGGCTGGACCTGGGAGGGCTGGGAAGTGTGGGGAGAGAAGCCCGGCAAAGTGGCTGTGGCCCTGTCTTCAGCATTTCTCCCCAGGCCCTGAGGAGGCAGGGGTCACCCGGGCAGGCTGCTTCCTTGGCAAACCAGGAGCTGGCTTGCCAAGGAGGGGACTGCCTTAGCAGAGGGTGCTGGGGGAAGACTTCAGGGAATCAGGCAGGTGGTATGGCAGGGCTTAAGGCTTCTTCACAGGCCCTTGGGCCAAGCAAAGCTGTGGCAGAGCTCCTGGGTCCATGGGTGCCCACATTGCCCAGCACCCCACTGCCCAGAGTGATCACTCCCTCCACTGCTGGAAATATGGTTGTGTGTGGGGGGGTCCCTCCTCAATATAGCTTCCCTAGCCAATGTGTGAAGGGGGCCATCAGGCTCCTCCTGAGGCAGGGCAGCAAGGCAAACAGCAGAGCACACGGGCTGGGGGCCTGTCTGGGTTGATTTCTGATTCAGCCGCTTACTGGCTGTGTGACTTTGGGCGTGGTGCTTATGCTCTTTGCCTTGATGTCTTTAGCTATAAAGGAGATGACCATTTTAGTGCAGGATTAATATATGCAAAGTGCTTAGATGAATGCTTGGCAGTGAGAAAGCTTACATTAGTGAGTGCTAGGCTGGTCTCAGTGGCTTACGCCTGTAATCCCAGCACTTTGGGAGGCCAAGGTGGGCAGATAACTTGAGTTCAAGAGTTCAAGAGCAGCCTGGCCAACATGGTGAAACCCTATCACTACAAAAAGAAATAATAAAAATAATTAGCCAGGCATGGTGGTGCACACTTGTAGTCCCAGCTTCTTGGGTGGCTGAGGCACAAGAATCGCTTGAACCCAGGAGGTGGAGGTTACAGTGAGCTGAGATCGCGCCAGTGTACTCCAGCCTGGGTGACAGACTCTGCCTCAAATAAACAAACAAACAAACAACTCTTTGGCTGGGCATGGTGGCTTATGCCTGTAATCCCAGCACTTTGGGAGGCTGAGGCTGGTGGATCACCTGAGGTTGGGCATTCAACACCATCCTGGCCAATATGGTAAAACTCCATCTCTACTAAAAATACAAAAATCAGCCAGGCATGGTGGCTTATGTCTGTAATTCCAGCTACTTGCGAGGCTGAGCCAGGACAATCGTTTGAACCTGGGAGGCATAGGTTGCAGTGAGCCAACATCGTGCCAATGTACTCCAGCCTGGGTGACAGAGCAAAACTCCATCTCAAAAAAAAAAAAGAAAAAAATTGGTGACAGTTGTCATTATGATGAGGCCTACCAGCCATCAGCCCTGCCTCCAAGACAGGACTCTTCTCCAGGAAGGGGTGTTCTACTGTCTCCACTGCAGGAGCCATGGTCAGGTGGTAGCAAGCACACAGGGGGCCTGAATTCCCTTACTTTTTTTTTTTGAGACAGACTCTCACTCTGTTGTCCAGGCTGGAGTACACTGGTGCAATCTCAGCTTGCGGCAACCTCTGCCTCCTGGGTTCATGCAATCCTCTGTGTTTCAGCCTCCTGAGGTGGCTGGGGTTACAGGTGTGTGCCACCACTCCCAGCTAATTTTCTTTAATATTTTATTTTTAGTAGATGCGAGGTTTCACCATGTTGGCCAGGCTGGTCTTGAACTCCTGACCTCAAATGATCTGCCTGCCGCAGCCGGGATTAAAGGTGTGAGATTACAGCCAGGATTACAGGTGTGCTGGGATTACAGGTGTGAGCCACCGTGCCTGGCCTGAATTTCTTATTGGTAACAGTGGTGTGGTATCCTTCATAATGGCCCCACTTCACAACAGGATTTTAGTGGAGCTAAATTTCCATAGCTCAAAATAAGAAGATACATTCTGTTTAGCTCTAACAATGACAAGTGGGCCAAGGGGTCAGACATGACCCTAATGGCTTAATACCTACCATATGTTAGTAGTAAGACCAGCAGAAGAGAGAAAAACATTTGGCTGATCAAATCTCAGACGGCCTGAGAGCTACAGGTTGGCCAAGTGCCGCTAAAGTACTAGGAATGTATTATGCTCCTCCTGTTTGGGGACCTGATATTCAAAAAGAGGATGCCTGGGTACAAAAGAATGAAGCACCAATGATGGAAGTCCAGGCATGAACAGATGCCACGGCTTGTCGGAGCTGTCATGTTTAATGGGAGTCAGACTCAAAGACCCATTCTTGCTAGAATGGAGTTCCTCCGTCCTTCAAGTGGGATAAACAAAAGAATCACCCGGCACAGCCTCACAGCCCAGCTTCCAGCCCTGGCTGGCCCCACTTTGCTGAGCAAGGGTACACGGCACTTCACCTTTTTTGACTCATGTGTAATTTTCCTCTGTTGCAAGGAGGTTGGGCAAGATGACCTCTAAAGTCCCTTGGTCGCAGACCCTGCCTGAACCTGTATGAAGGAGGATGACAAGTCCAAGTCCTCTGAGGTTGGTGCTAACACAGCTCTGGGGTTAGTGACTCATCTCAGTGAAAGATGTCACCAACCT